TAAGATATTGATACTAATCCACTTTGACATTAATAAGCTATTTCTAGATGAAAATAAAGTGTCAAAGGGATAAAGATTCTTGGATAATTTAAAAGCTTTTTTTTAAAAAAAGAAAGAAAGCAGCGGAGGGAAAAAGGAAAAAAGAGGGTGGAATCTGGAAAATGGAGGAGACCACCTTGCAAAAGATACATTGTAGCTGAAACTTTGTTACAAGATAATAACGCCCCTGGAAAGAGAAAGTGAGAAAAGAAGCAAGAAACAGTTTTGGATTATTGGATGATTCCTAGAACTTTGGATGGAGGATCCTAATGAAATAAAATAAAATCAGTTGGGGGTTGTTTAAAATTTTTTAAAACGGCATCACTCCTTGAAGAGTTAAAAATGAGACTTAAAAAACAAAAAGAAGAAGCACAAGATGGAAGAGGATCTTTTGGCTTCATATTTCAATTTTTAGAAATGGAGATCTTGAACTATGAAAAACAACAAGAAACGCTGGCAGAACAAGAAGGGCAGGACAATGAAGAAGTCATCTTTAATGACCAAGCAATTTTAAGTGGGGTAAAAAAGGGAAAGGGGGAAAAGGGAGTTAAAAACTTAAGCACTGAAGCAACAACCAAAAAAAAAGAGTAATTTGAAAAGTAATCATAATATCAGGAAGAAGCAGAAGGGAGGATCACAGAAGGTAGAATCAGATAGAAAAGGGAATAAAAAGGGGAGGGAGAAGAAGAGAGGGAAGAGGGAAAGGAAAAGAAGCTACAAAGGACAGAAACAAGATATAGAGGTACAGGAAAAGTGTACAAGAATTAAAGGTATAAACCTATTTAACAGACACAGAGACAATAGTTAAAATTTAACTTAAGGAGAGGATTCTGCAAGGGTGCATGGGATAGCATTGTTATATTAGAAATAGAAAAGGGTTAAAAAATATGTTAGATGATTAAAATGATAGAAAAAATTACTATTGATGTGTAGTGGAATATTTGTTTGTAAAGATAATAAGGCTCCCAATGATTTTAAAAGAACATTTAAAAAAAACTGAAAAGAAACATGGAAGATTTTTATCAGTTGACAAGATGAACTTGAATAAGAATAATAACTTTATTGACTACTGTTAATAACTATTGTTTGGTTTTTTTATTTAAAGGCAGTAATAAGTAAAATATGAAATATAGATGATTAAAGTGAAAGACAACTGATATTATTAAGTAATGTTTGTTAAAAGAAATAGAAATGTAAAAGATTGTTATTAATATTAATGGCAGAGCTGTACTTGAATAGAATAATTATTCCATTTACTATTGTTATACATATATACACAGATATATATACATATATACTTTTTTCTTTTAAGAATTTAGTGTGTATTTTTAAGGGAATGTACCAAGCAGAATTCAATTGAAAATAGGTATGTGTTATAAAATAGAGGTTAGAAAATGAATGTTATAACTGTAAAGATGTAACTTAAATTTTTAAATAAGATTTGAAAAAAGATACAAAGGTCTTACACTCCAGTCTAGTAATTACAGGGGAAATTTTGTTTTATGAGAAAAAATAATATGAAATTGTAAACAGGACAGACAAAAGTATAAAAACATTGATTAGAAAGATTTTAAAAATTAGGAAAAGATATGTAATTGAATTAAGAAAGGAATGAGATAATTTAAAATAAGGCTATAGGAAGTAAAGAAAGGGAAAAGCTATTGAAAAAATTGCGAAAATAGTTATAAGATATGGATTAGAATGTATAAGATAAATATGTATTGAGTTTATGTCTGTATGGAGAAGTGATAACCCGGGGCCAGGCTGTTCTCAAAAAAAGATATTTTATTTGTATTTGTATGTTTTGTGAAAACTTAAATAAAACTTTTATTAATAAAAGAAAGAAAGAATCTTGGATAGTATTCAGAAAGAATAGAATAGAAGTAGAACTGTGACAAAAGAAAACAAAGATAGTAGCTGCCTTTGGGTCGGCTTCGCTGCCTTTGGGTCGGCTTCCTTTGGGTCGGCTTCGCCAGCGGCAGGGATTCACGATCCTGCGCGATCCCTGCGGCACTAGCCGTCTTGGTGCCTCCGATCCTGACGGATCTGGAGGCTAAGGCTGCCCCGCAGAGGCAGTCGAAGATAGGGGGATCTGGAGAGGGGTTTGGGGGTGTTGCAGACCCCCTCCCCAGCCGGCTAAACCCCCTTTTCTCAAGGCGGTTGAGCGGCAGTCTGTAATGGCTGCCACAAAGAAGCCGGCAGCTGGGTAAGACTGAGCAGGAGAAAGAGGGGAGAAAGTTTCTAAGAGAAAGTTTTTTGGCTGACCCAGGACTTTAAGAGACGCCTAATCCTGAAAACTATGACTTCTTGAACGATACTTTGTTTCCAGAGGAGAATTTCAAGCGGCAAAACTGAGGTGCTGAAAGGGAAAGTTTACTCTCCTTCCCTATGGAATCAACAAATGGCCATTGAGAAACCTGTCTTTTTTTTATAAAAGGTAAAAACTTGGCTTCTTGTTATAAGTGGGAAGGGAGAGGACAAAAAAATATTAAGATCTTGCTGGAGGAGATGCCTTGAAGATTTTGAGACTGGAAATTAATTGAAACAAGGCTCTAAAATACAGATTGGGCTTTTTTTCTTTTCCTTTTTATTGATACCACCCCAGGAAGAGAAAGTGAGAACTTTGTGCTTTGTTTGGACTGATGTCTCTGGGACTTTGGGGAATTGTTCTAACTTTTGAAACATTTTGGTTGCTTTAAGAAGAAGAACAAAGAAAAGATTTACAATGGCTTTACCTGTTGATGAACTTAAGGAATATGGAAAAATAAAGAAAGAAAGTAAGGACGCTGTGAAGGAAGCCTTCCTTTTTTTAGAAATGGCACTTGCTATTTATCAGCAAACACAACAACAGATGGAGGAAATAGAAGAAGAAGAAGAACAACAAGAAGAAGACGCCATCTTCAATGAATCTAAAAATTTAATTAAGAGAGAAAGGAGAAAGAGAGGAAGGAAAATGAAGGACTTAAGACTTAAAAAAACACTCAAGAAAGAGAAAAATAAGATGCAAAATCAACACAATGTTACTAAGCAAAAGAAAAAAGGAATACAACAGAGGGGAAGCTAAAAAGGCGGAGGTTATTAGAGGGGGAGGTAAAAAGGCCAGGTGGGATAAGAAAGGAAGGGAAAAGGGGGGGAAAAGCCACAAAGGTATGAAACAAGATGGGAAAAACGGAATTTTTTTCAGGGATAAAGGGTGATGTATAATTTCTTTAAAAAAGAAGATTCTGCAAGGTACATAAGATGGTATTGTAGTATTTGTATTAGAAATAGAAAATTAGAATGTTATAAGAATTAATAAAATATTAAAATATTGAAATGTTTAGTAATGATAGACTTTAAAATTTAACAAAATATTAAAAGGAATGTTTAAAATATTAAGTTTAATTAAAGAGTTTAATTGAGTATTGTGATGATTTTACTATAAACTTATTATTCTAGCATTTGTTTTTTGAAATAGATAATTGGAATGTTATAAGATTTAACATTTAGATTTATTATCTAATTATATTAATTATTTTGGACTTATTATTTTTTTCTCTTTTTAAAAGTTAGCAGGTAGAATGTACTAAGCAGAATCAGATTGGGTACTAGGTGTTATTTTAAATATTAATTTAGGGGGAGGATAGAAAGGCATCATACTCTGATCAGTGATTTCAGGAGAAATCCTTTTTTTTTTTTATTGTAGGGAATGAGATAAATGGATAATTTGGAAAGAATGGACAAAAAATACAAATACAATGATTTAAATTAAAATGAATTAAATAAAATAGAATTAAGAAGAATGAAAAGCGGGGAGAAGTTATATAGAAGATATAGAATGGTAAATAAGATAGGTAATGGTATATAAGATGAGCACGAATTTAATTGAGTCCATACAAAGAGAGGTAATCTGGGGCCAAACTACTTTTAAAAGAAGTTTAAATTTTTGTGTTTTGTGTGTTCATGTTTGTTTGAGAATTAATAAAACCTCGGAGGAATGTTCGATGAGAATAATGGTAATCAAGTCAGAGAGAAATGTAGATGATTATAAATTGGATAAATATAGAAAATAACAATAATAATAATGAAATTGAATACGAAAAGAGAAATAATGAGAAATTTGCTAAGAGATATTTATATGTCCATATGGAAATGGTGTAAAACAGAATTATGTTGTATAAAATAATATTTTATTTTACTTGTAAAATTAATAATGGAAAGAGGTTTTATGTATTTAATGGTTAATGATGGTTTGTTTGTCTCTAAAATTAATAAAATTTGTTCCAAAAAAAAAAAAAAAAAGATAGTAATAGCTGCCTTGAGTGCAATTCCAAACATCCTGAGCATCAGTTGAACACCGTCAGCACTGAAAAATCACCATCAGTCAACTGTAAAAGACACCTTTACTTGGAACAGTTTACATCTTCTGATAATATTTTTAATATTATTAAATAACATCTTATTTCAGGTCCTTGAGAAGGACTCAATAGGTGGACAAAATTGCCAAACCCAATCTAAATATCTGGTTGATGGTACAACAAACCATAATAAGAATACACATCACGAAAATTTGCTGGACAGAAATTAAATTCAAATTAATCTTCATAGAAAAAAGAAGTAGCTTTAGGAAATAAAAATCAAATACATGGGTACAGAATGAGTCAAATTAGCTTGGTAATAAAATTGGGAAATGACTTTGAAACAGTAGTTTATTACAAGCTGAATATGAGTCTGCCAGGGGAAATTACTTTTAAAACAGCAATATAATTTTAGGCTGCATAAACAATAGGTTAATATGTAATTATAGAAATATAATTAGGAATGTAAATGATAATAAGAAATTATAGTTTATTTTTATTCTGTATTGGTCAAAGCCCACTCTGAATATTGTGCCTAGTTCTGGGAATCCCACATTAAAAAGGATTTCGAAAAATTGGAACAAGTTCACAGAAATGCAATGAAAATGACTAAGAAACTAACTCCCCAGAAGAAGATTAAAGACATTGGAAATATTTAGCCTTGAGGATGCTGAAGAATACTTTCATATCTATTCTTCTACCACAGAAGACAGTCAACAACCGAATCCGTTGAAGGGAGACGTTAAAACAGACAAGATATGATGCTATTTTTGACACAGATTGATATGTGTGCATACATATATCCTTCCATTATTCCAGAATGTATGACATGGGATTACAGGTTTAAATTACAGGAAAGCAAATTCTGACTAAACATTAGGAGAGAAAGAAATGCCTAGTTAGGTCCAACGGATGGTAGAGAACACTTCAATTTGAATTCCTGTGTTGACTACAGAGTTGGATTTGATGTCCCAAAGAGTCCTTTCCAATTATATGATTCTATTCATGTGAGAAGCTGGTAGACTTATCCAATTTTAATTATAAATGTTTTAAAACCAAGTGATTCATTTTTAGTTTAACTGAACTGCACACAGCTTTGCAATTGTTAAAAGGAGTAAAAAGTTGTTATTTACAAATAAATAACAAATCAAGCACCTGCTGTATTAAGTATTTATTTATACATATCTCTATCAATATGGAAGGACAAGGGTGGATGAAGAATGACTGTAGAATGAGCTATCAGTGAATGTTATTATTACTGGAAATACACAAACTTCACATTTAACTCTGGATGCAATCTGACTGAGCCCTGAAATAATACCATGGAAGTTTTTTAAGGAAGAGATTGATCCAAAAGAGGAATCAGAGCTAATTGACTATTTAATCACACATTACAAACCGTAATATATGTTGGAAGTATATATGGAACCTAAAGAACTGTTGCCTCTGCAGTTATGGGTGCCATATCCATATTCAGAAGGAACTCATTAACAACTACTGGCATAATAAGTTGTCTTGGAAAAGAAAGTTAGGGGAAGAAACAGCAGTTTATGAAATCAACTTGAATGTTCACCAGGATTGGGAAACCTGACACAAAATGGATAAAGCCGTACGCAAACTTCTAATCCTTCCAAATATCAAATTCAGAATAGGAATACACGATTACTGATGTTCTAAGGTTTGTTACCACATTTCTCTAAAGCTGTGTTATTCAACTAACTTCAATGTTATCCTCATTCATATATTATCATTACATTTTTAGTATTTAGTTGTTTTTGACAGTCATCTGCGATACTCAAGACTTGTACTTAGGTACTTTTATAAAATAACAAAATGTTCTCATTCCAAAAGCCTAAAGCAACAACATCAAATCAATGAAAATTATCTTCCCAAGACATATGTATAAGTTTTCATTGCACTGAACTATTGATTAGAATAACTTTTACTTACAAACTTAAAGACTGAACATAGATGCAAAATAATATCTTCTGAAACCAACAGAATGACTTCATAAATCCCACTAAACAGAATTATTCCAGCTGTGATATAACTTTAAATAGGTTTTTTAAGTTTAACTTTAGCAGTAGATAGGGAAGAGCAGTAAGCTTGTATTGTAAAAATTGTCTTTTCCTGTGCATTGTAATCCTGAAGCTAGCTGAAAAAATTGTCAGATACATTTTCACTGGTGCTTCAGTGGTACTGACATAATGTCAGTGGGAAGAAAAAAGACATCCTGTATATTAGAAAATTCCACTCCCTTTCTTGTCTCCACACTTCATGTTAGGTCAAACTAATCTCTTATGAATTTAAAAGAAACATGAGACCAGCTTTGTATTTTTGCTTCCTTAAGCAGTTTGAAACTGATCTGTGATTGTATTCAGTTCTCCAGACCACAAAACTCTGAAATGTTTAAAAACAATATATTTCTTATGTCTATATTTCTATTGGTATATAGACATTATGTCATTTTAGAGTAACTTGGGACTTCCAGATGTTTCTATTCATATGGTTGACTTGTGAAAATTATAGAAATGCAGACTTTCCTATAATCTATTAAGCAACACAATAAATATTACTTGCCCCAATGCTAGATGTAAAACAGTGAGATAAAATAATATTTCAACTCCTTATAGTTTCTATTTCAAGTTAATTTTCATTATGGATGATTATTATTTTAAAAAAACACAGAACACCCCTGCAATTATTTTCATTTAAAATAATAAAAATTTCATTGATATTTTAAAGCAGGCATTCTCAACAATCTTAAAGCACAGAATAAGCAAGATATTCCTTATCTTTGACACTGGCAGTGAAATAAGCAATGAGAAAAGTTTAGAGCTGCAATATTGACCATTTTCAATGCCAATTTGAGACTCTATTGAAATAAGAAAATAATACCAAGAGTGAAAGAGAGGAACTAGAATAATTCAGGGTCACACACACCCCTTATAATTATGGATTACAATAAAATAAAAAGCTAAAACAAAAATCTATGCTTTCTTCCTATAGTTTTCCTAACATTGATAGACCTCAAAAATGAACTGGGATGGACAATAGTCATTGGGGTAGAACATAAGGATCTTTGATGTTCTGAAACCTCTACCATACTGTAAACATACCCAACATTTTGATCTTCTGCAAATCAAAGCATTTGAAAATGTGACTTACTGCAACAGATCTATGCAAAGTAGAGATACTTTACCTTGACAAGGCCTACTATAGGAACAATCCAAACTGTATTGCTAAAGCTTTATATGCATCTGAGACAGCATCCTTCTTCAACCGTTTCAGCTATTAAAAGTGTTGAGTGATACAATGTAAAGCACTTTCACTATGTAAAAGGGGGAAGGTTACATTATGTAGTACAGCAATTTTGAAGGCATACTTCAAAGCAAACCAAAGCTCTAGATGATATGCACAGCTCCACTGACAAATCTGTAGACTGAAAACATTATCCCATGTGTGTACTTTCCTGCTTTATCTTGCATTTACTCCCATTTCTGCCCATTTCCAAGCAAAGTGCCCAAAGGATTAGCATTCTCAAAATTCACATGTAGACTCTTTCATACTTTCCCCTTCTCACCTCATTCCTTGCCTGTTGGACTTGTTTCTCCAGTTCCTCAGGAATCATCTTACCTCTATAGGACACAGATGTAAAACTTTTCAGTTATGTTCAACAGGTAATTGTTTACAGTAATACTGCATGGTAAAATGGATTTAATCAATTCAATGTGTAGAATCCTTACCTGTCATCACTTTTGACAAAGTAAACATTTTGTGTGCCAATTCCCAAAAAGGAAGCTGCCTTCTTCACTGAGTAGTGACACTATGTAAAAAAGCAAGATATGTGAAAAATAGTTTTGTTGAATGAAAATCCTCTTTATTATCTTTCCATCTATTCTATTTCCTTCTATTTCTCTTTCATAACTTTAATCAGATTAGGTGACAGATATTAAAGCAGCCCATTGTTGACTTTATTAAGTCTTCTAATGACTACACATATTATATCATTGTCATTGATAAGGTATTCTGGGTTCATGACAAATTCATGGGTTCATGAAAATGTTTGTAGAAACATTTTCAATTAGAAATATCACATTGGATTTTATTTGAAGTTATTATTTCAAACAGAACTATCAAAATCAAAGTAATTTGAAAAGACAAACTAAATAAATAAACGAAATAACTAAAATATTGAAGTCAATAATTTTAGAAAACGCATTCAAGGGGGTAAATTAGGAAATGAATTCAATAGTTTGGTAATTAATAAAATCTTAAGCAGATCTAATTCTGCACTTGAATTGGAATAGTGTCTCTGGTGAGGACATAATTTAAATAACTTAATCCATTTTTCCTGTTTTTTTTTCAGTCAGCAAATTAGCTATGCTGATCATACTTTCTTGAGAAAATATTTCCCGATGAAGGAGTACATGTACTCCATATCTGAAACTGAGGTAACAAAAACATTAATCAGCTATGCCTCAAAAAAAGCTTGGAATAATTTTAAATATATTTTCTACAAGTCAATAAAAAAAACCTGGCAAGGGATCCTGTTCCAGAGGTGGTATTCAACAGGTTCTGACCAGTTCTGCAAAACCGGTAGTGGGAGTTTTGAGTAGTTCAGAGAACCGGCAAATACCACCTCTGACTGGAGATTTTACAGTATCCTTCCCCTGCCATGTCCACCAAGCCACACCCACAGAAATGGTAGTAAAATTTTTTGAATCCCACCACTGTCCTGTTCACAGACATATTAAAGAAACAGGATGTGTTAAGTCTCATGAGAAAGCTAAGACTATATGTAATAGCTACTGAAAGACTTATCATGAAACATTAGGAAGTTTTTCAAATCAAATCAAATAATCTTTATTTCTTCCTGCTCATGATCTTCTACCAGATTCAAAATCTTTCTTATCATTTCAAAGTGATACTCCTGATTCTGAAAAATAGTTATTATAATGTGATCACAAGAACTTATTGGGCAAAACTTCTATGTTTTTTTCTTCATTTTTTAATCGTTGGGATATAAAATTTCCCCTTTGTCATGAAAACATGCACACTTATTTTATATAAAACAAGAATAGCATGTAAATAGCATGTAAAGACTTTCATCAGCATATGGAATTTATCATCTGTACAGTATTTTAAAAGCAGAAATACTCAAAAATGAGTGGGCCCTTTTCCTCACAGGCATTCAGAATAAAAGCAAGAACCATCCAAATGGTCCAGAAGCTTAATCATATTGTTGAACTCTGCACCTTCATGCTCTATCACTATATGTGCTTCATCAAAAATGACTACCAAACAAAATGATTCTTTGTTTTACATTGGTTCTCATATTTAACAACTATAAAAGTTTAGGTCAATCTATGTTGCATTCCTTGGAAAAGTTGGATTCAATTTCAAAACAACTAGAAAAATAGTACACCTGAAATGCCCTATATCTACAACTTTCACATTAATAAAGTAGTGCACAAAAGTTGCATGTTCATGGGTATTTTTAATTATTGACTTGACTCAGTGATGAATCCCAAAAAATCTGCAGAGGTTCAAAGAGTTCCCAGATGATCCCCAAAGTCTATGAGATTTGAGATCTTTTCAATAGAACAATAAATCTGCCTCTTTAAAAGCAGAGGAAATAGAGCAAATCTTTAGTGTTATTTAAGAGTTAATATATTTGCCAACAATGGTGAACAAAGTCTTAAATTGTTTCTTTGCATATAGTAAGTAAAGCCAGGTGGTTAATTAATTCAGTTTTCCTCCAGAGAATTCACACAAATATAGTTATGAATGAACATAATTATGAAAAATCTGCAGCACTTCAATATGTGGCATGAATATATTAAAGTTATTCAGTGTGTCTCATTTTTTAAATGAGAATCAACTCATAATAGTTCCTCTTTTTTGCACAAGGAAGTCTTTTTTTCCTTATTTTTAATGAAGTGCATAAATATAGCATCAGCTACCATCAGCCAGTCATTTCTAATTTGACACTTTCAGAAAACCTGTGGAATTCATTAATTTGTGCTGCTTTCTGAATAACATACATAGGTAAATAAATAATCTTCTGTTACTGAATTACATCAATAATGAAATAAGCCTGAGTGGTGCTTCCATCGGTAATGGACTGGAGACCATTATTGTGTGTGGCTTTGATCCATGTTTGCCCTGTCGGAGGGGTCCCAAACAGAACAGGATCCACCTCAGAGGGATGGGGAAAGAGGGGGAGACCACCAGCTGGGTCAAGGGGAGCTGCATCTCCCCTTCCTGACTAGATATACTCCCCTCAAAGACAGGAGTAAGTCGCTGTCTTTAATGACTGCCCTGAAGACGGGAAGCTATCTGGGAATTAAGTTTGTGCTGGTGTCAGATCTGTGTATCTGTCATTTCTTCAATGAAAGAAGAAAAGGTGGGGGGAGACTGATAAAGAAATCCTTGATGTAACCTGAATATATTTAATCTTATATTGAATTTGTATAACCTACACATGATACAATGGAGGGATGAAACCCAGATGGCCGGAACCTATCACCTCTGAGAGAGACAGCCAGGAGATGAAGAGACTGTTAGGGATAACATTGTTTACCCTAACTGGTTTGGGTAAAAATAATAAATATGGTATCATGGTTTGTTAGTTAAAGTGTGTGTAACTTTAACAGCAAGAATGTAATTAAGGGTGTGGTTGTAAAAGCACTATATAAGAAGCGAGGCAATTGCAGCTCGCTCTCTCTGGCTTGAAGATCCCTAATTACTGGATGGATTGATGACTGCATTCTTGCTGGAACGGGGAGAGAAAAAGGAGTGTTAATTTTTCTCAACGGAGAGAAGATAAAGATTGGACTGATTTATTGTAAGTGAACTGACATTGGCTATTCAACACGGACTTTGCAAATAGAGTATCCCCGACAAGACTTGACTGAAATTGATATATGACTAATGGACCGTTTATATTTGACTATGCTATAATTCTTAAATGGAATAAACTATATTTTTGATAGCACAAGCGTATCTGTATTTTTACTGCGTGTTAACTAGAAAACTTATCTCACACATTTACCTGTCTTCCTATCTGACTTCGCTGCACGTTTTGTTTAGTTTGTTTTCCTTAACACCCGTTGGGGAATCCAGGCTTAACAGAGACCATAAAAATTCCACAGTGAGATGTGTCCTGGGAAACTCTGGAAAAGATCGTTCTAAAAAGGGGGTGGGGGAATTAGGTATGCCATGGGAAACTCTGAAAAAGATTGTTCTAAAAAGGGGGTGGGGGGGAATTAACATGTTGGCTCTTTGTTTTACTAAATACACATCAAGATAAGGGGATGGGTTTTAAACTCCCTTATCTATCTCTGCATACCTGAGAGACCTTAGATGCTGCTTTTAACCCCTACATGAATTGTCTCATCTCAATAAAGGATTCCTTTTGATACATTTTGATAAGTTTTCAGAAGTTCCTTCTAGTTGATTGAATGGGAAAAGTTCTGTAGCCTGACAGCTGGAGCTGTGAAGAAGTGGACAGCAAGGAGACCAGGCATAATTTACGGACATAAAGATACCCCAGAATTAAGGTGTAAAGAATTTTTCTAAAAGGATTACAAAGTGGTGATCGGAGAGAGAGAAAAGAAAGGTGGAAATAAATAAAAAAGGATTAGAATTTTGACAGGAGCTAAATTGAAGGAGGAAGCTGGAAGAAAATTTGGACAAACGTATGATTCTGGCACTAAATAGGCATAATTAAACATTGAACTTGAATGTGCCTAAAGGAAATGATTAATAATTTGGACTTATTGAATTTTTGAAACTTAAAAGCCTCAAATAAATGTTGGAAAAGTGGAAAGAAAGGGTGGAATTTGGATGTAACAGAGAGTGCCACCTAATGGTAAAGGAAAATTGCAGTGACTTTTTTAAAAAAGTGCCTGGTTCTTTCAAAATTGAAACTTGATACAAAACAAGAGGAACTTTGTTATAATAAAATTGAAACCCTGAAAAATGAAAACACAGAATATTAAGATAAAAGAAAGAAGCGTGAAGAAATTACTCTGGGACTGCTTGGTGATTTTGACATAAATTTAAATTTATGGATATTGGACTATTTGATGATTTTGGAAAAAACTTAAAAGAGGAATTAATAGAAGTTGATCATTGGAAATGAACATCAAAGATGCTGGTCGAATTAAAATACTGGACAATTGGTTTGGACTTAAATATTAAAGAAAGGGATAAAGAAAATATAAAAGAAGTGTCTAAAAATGGCAGAACTAAAAATGGAATTAAGAAATATAAAGGAAATGTTACATGAAAGAAATGAATTATGCTATATTGCCTTACAATTAATAGAAATGGCGATTCTGGAGAACAAAGAACAACAAGGAGTGCCAGAAGGGGAGGAGCTGATCAAAGAACAGGCCAGCTTCAATGAACAAATGGAGCAACGAACATCAAAACAAAGGGAAAAAAGAATGGGAATTAAAACTTGGAGGTTTGAGGAGGTAATTAAAAAGAGAAATGTCTTGAAAGCCAAACAAAGAAAAAGGAAACTGCAGAAAAGGGAATTACAGAAGAAAGTTTTAAAGAGGGAGTGGGTTAAAAATTGGAATAAGAAAAGGAAGGAAAAAATGAAGAGAAAAAGAGGTAATAAGAGAAAGAAACACAAAACAAGGAGATATGGGAACCAAACAAAAACAATAAGAAATTGTTTAGTCAGGACACATAGAGACAATGGGTAGATAAAGAATAAAGAAAAGACATTCTGCAATGTGTTGTAATACATAAGAATATAGTTTTTAAAAGTTAATGAAACTGATATATTTTGTTCTAATTGGCTTCTTT